AACTTTCTTTGCTTCTGTCAGTTCATGTTAAGCACTAGGAACATGCACTAGTGTAATAAGACGGGAGAAATTTGATGAAAACCAGGAGGTTGCATTAGTGGTCAAGCATGAAGGCTCTGGAGCAAAAGCTCTTGGATTTGAAGGTACGTTAGAATGGAATCTCGAGCATGTGACTAAAACGCTTTACTTTTCTCGTCTGTAAATGGGGATGACAATTACTAACAATACCCACCTCATAGCAGTGTGTGAATTAAATAGGTTTACATGGGCAAAGAGCTCAAACAAGAGCCTGGAACATGATAAGCATCTAATAATTACTAATTGCCATTATTAGAATGTCTATCTTCTACCAGTAGGCTCTACAAAACAGCACCACACAGTGGAAAGCTCTGGGGTAAGTTCCTAGGTGTGTCTCTCAGCTCCCTACTTACAAAGTCTGTGACCTAGATTGTATATATATTGAAGGATAATAAGTATAATAAATTTATTGACATCACCTTTTATCTATGAAAAGAGTATGATGATATCGTATTGAAAGTGTTACTGTGAAAGCTAAATGGCATAATGCATGTGAGTGGCATGGTGCTGGCACATAGTAGGTGGTCAGTCAATTAGGACTTTCACAACAGGGAAACAACCTGGTTTGTGAAGTCAGCATGAGTTTTGAACACAGACACTCCGAGACTCTAGGCAACCTGATTTTTCTACTCTCGAGTCTCTTCCTATGTAAAGCTGGAATACCAGTGCCTTTTAAAGACCAGAACTAGTGTCCACAAAAAGCCTGTCTTATAATAGGGACTCATTTTGTTTATTATCATTTATTCCTTGGGTCAACAAACCACCAACTGAGGATCAGTTCCTGTCAGATACTTGTTTTAATACGGCTTAGGAGCCAAGAATGGCTGTACATTTTGAAATGCTTGGGGGAAATAGGAGAATATTTTGTGACTCATAAAAATTATATGAAATTCACATTTCAGTATGTAAATGAAGTTTTGTTTGAACACCACTATGGTCCTTTCTTTCTGTGTTCTTTGGTAGTTTTTGCACAACAATGGCAGATATGAGTAGTTGAAGCAGAGACTGTAAGGCCTGCAAAGCCTAAAACGTTGATTATCCAGCACTTTATAAAAAAAGGTTTGCTGCTCTGTGATCTACTCTAATCTTCTCTTATATATGAAGAGTAAGGGGCATAGAAATGAAGAATTAGTTATTAATTTATTTAAATATTCAGAGCTTAGAATCTAGTTCTTTGGCACTGGGCAACCCAGCCGAACACTGACACTTTCTTATACAAGTTGAGATTTGAGAAAGTATATAAAAAAGAGAATGCTTATTATATTTCTTACTTGGAGTTACGACTGACTAGATCATTTGAATATTTAATTTTAAAGTAACCTAAAATATTTTCATTTTATGTTATTTCTTTTGCATTTATACTTATACGTAGCTATGCTATTCCTACATTATCTTATAGTAACCTTTGTTAGAGCCGAAGAATTGCTGAAATTTTAAATCATTTAACTAGCTATTCTATACCAGCTTGTTACTCAGGTGATGTGTCTAGTGTTTATTACTTGTTTTATTTTGCCATCTCTTCATTTTGCAAGCAGGAAACAGCCTGACCCACCTCCTGGCTCCTGGTCCACCTCCTTCTCCTCCCCTAACTCTCCACGCCCGTCACTTCTCGCCTTCCCCACACCCCTTTTTCCCAAGCTCCTACCGTCCTCTGCAAAGCATAAGTTATGCTGAGCAACAAGTTAAGATAGCATGGGGAGAAATGACAGATACAGGTGAGGGGAAGGAAGGCAGGAAACCACACTGCCATGTGTGTACCTATGCAACAATCTTGCATGTTCTTCACATGTACCCCAAAACCTAAAATGCAATAAAAAAAAAGATGGTTTCATTTCTCCTTTGCTTTTGGGTACATTAATGTATTTTAGATGAAAGAAAATTAATATTTTTAGGCTGACACTCTATAAATGAGACATGGAAAAGCACTGTGTTACTGGATTTGGGTGTTTTAGAAAATAATCAGCCTGTACGCTGAGCAAGTTTTATGTGTCCTAGAAAAGGAAGTGATGAATTTGCTGCAGTTCAGGGCTCAATGTACAGGATTTACATATTCCAGAGCCTGAAAAAACAGAGACCCAAAAATAAAGACTTCTGATATTTCTGTAATTTAACCACTAACTTATCTGTTTATGTCTATCAAAAATATAAACAGAATGATTTATCTAAGTACTCAATCTCTTAAAATACTTTAAAAATTAAGTCATTAAAACCAGCCACCTTTTATCTATCAATAATATTAAATCATTCTATTTTTACAGAGGTTTTTGGAAACAAATTAATCAGGTTTGACAGAGATTCTATCTCACCAGTGGTGACATGTTCAAAGAAAAAGTCAGTATTATGTCAGAGTTATGTTCTGTATTCTGCAGAGGCAACGAGTCATTGTCAAGAGCTCTCAAATTGTACCTATGAAAAGTTTATCAGTGAAGCACTGCAGGGGGAAGTACCAGCACTAGCTGGTTGTTAAATATTCAGTTCAATGATGTTAAATTGTTGGCAGCTTGAAATTGTCTATAGCGGGAGCATTTATACCAAGGAACTAGGCAAGTTCTAGAAATCAGGGCTTTCTCCAGCCCTCACCTCACTCCAGGTGTTTTTCCAGCACATTATTGAGTATGCTTAAATAAGTCATATACCTGAGGGTTCTTTTTGGGAGAACAGAAATTTAAAACTGACTGATGGTGATGGTTGTATCACTTGTAAAGTTAGTCAAAAGTATTGAATTTTACACTTCAAATGGGTGAATTTTATGATATGGAAAATATACCTCAATAAAGTTACTAATTGAAATGCCCCTAAACCAACAAACAAAATATCAGCATTTATTTGTTATTTTAAGATTCAAGTACACACCCAGCAGACTTAAAACGAAAAATAAAGCCACATTCATCTAATGTTTTTGGTAGATATATAGTCTATGCAATAATCGTCAACCTAGGGTCTCACTTTGTAATTACTTGGATAGTTTGACAAGAAAACGCCCATCCCTAGAGATACTGAAATCATTTGTCAAGTCTGTGGTTTGGGTGTCAGAATTTTTTTTTTTTTTTTTTTTTTTTTAAACTCCTTGAGTTGTTCCAGAGGACAGCCAAGGTCAAGAACAAGGACTGCAGTTTTCCCAGATAACTACAAGTTGCAATTGCTGAGAAATCATCCTCAGGTTTAATACATGTTCAGGCCTTCTGAAATAGGGAAATCTGGATGTGACTGTACCCCCCCTTTTTTTTGCAGGGAAGTGGGTGAGTCGGTTTTGTATTGAATGTCTGTTCTTCGCACCTGGAGGAAAGACACAGTCCTATTCCCCCGTGGGGTTCACTTACAGTTGCTTTTTGCTATTGGCATCATGGCGGGGCACAGAAACAGCATCTAATTCATCTTTGTCATCTAAGTGTGTTCCCACAGTACTCAACCACAGACTCTGGGTTCAAGGACTGTTTGTTTAACTAAAGGACCAGAATTGAATACATTCCTCTATCTTCTCCTTTGGGGTTTTCTGTTACAGTGGGATGGCAATACAGATACCAGAACATGTGAAGCATTGCAGCTTAATGATCCAGTCAGCCGCGGAGGGTCACAGTTCAGCTTCAGTATTTGGACTTGGTGACCCCTGTGTTGGATGCTCACAGAAGAGCCTTTTACTTCTTCTATCTGGGGATTCAATCTAGAGGGATAGACAGATTCTAGAGCTCTGGCTTCCCAATAAGAGGAGTTTTCTGCAACGGAAATTTCAGGTGTTTTGTCTGATTTGTCAAATGAAAGTAAAGTTCAATTCTGACATTTCAGTTTTATAATCTAAAGACAGGAATTATTGATAAACTTTTACAGTAATACAGCATTAAAAAGATACAATCTCTGCATCCTTAACATGGAGAGATTTCAACTTTATTTTGGTTTTTCTCTGGTTAAGGACATAGCTTGTGGCAGGTTGGACTCCAAGCTTTGCTGTGTAATTGATGTGTGACTAGCAAGCAAGGTATTCAAACCTGTTTGGTGCCTCTTTTCGTCCTTCCTAAGATGAAGATGACAACAGCTCTTATGTCATTGGATTGTTATGAAGATTTAGAGCTATTTATCCACACAGAAGGTACAGGTTTTGCCTCTCCTCCTGCACAGGTGTCAAAGCCAGCCTCCTGGGGATATTCCCAGTGCCTTAGGCAGAAGGCTCAGTTTCTCTAGGAAATCCCCCGTTCCTCTCTTGTGTAATACTTGCTTCTTTAATCAAATACCCGGATGAGTTGTCTCATCTGGGTCCCTTCTTAAAGACAGAACTCTAATGACTCCACCTACCTATACTTACCTATCTGAAGCAGAAATTTTATCCTCTTTCTAAATTGTTGATATTTAAAGGCTCAACGTTGCCCCTCTGGACATACGTACAATACAAAAGCTCACAAATGCAGTATCAGGAGAAAGGAACACATAAGCGAGGCTGTTGCAGAAACTTCCTCATTCTCTGTCTTTTGAAAAAGTCCCTCTCCCTTAACACAGAATGTAGGTAGGCTTTCTGTTTATCTTACCAGCAACACAGTCCTTTTATGTTCCTGGGTCAGTGCTGGAGACTCTTGAACAGCACATTTATTCATAAACCAGAGCAACATCAAGGAAGCAGGCAACATCACCTCCACATCCCAATTCTGTCCCTGTTCTCAAAGAATGCCCAACATTTGATTTTTTTCCCCCGTTTTCTCAACCTACTTGTTTTCACATCTAGAAAAATAATGCATGCGTTCCCAGTGGAATTAGACCCAAACAGGCAGATACCTAACAGATACAAATGAATGAAGTGGAAAAAAATAGAAGGTTGAGGTAGCAGAGGGCAACGAGGCACTGAAAATTGTCATTAATCAAAGTGAGCACGCAGGAGGGAGCACCGCGTCAACGTCCACCCACCAGGCACTTTAAAAGGAGATCTGCTCCCTTACCCCAAGTCCTGGAGCAGCTCAGCTTCTCCATCGGATCTGCTCCACAGATCTGAGGGATCCTGGGTGCTCATCTTCCCTTCTAGAAGTTCTGCTCTGCCCATTCGCGCCCTTCACAGAGGCAGAGAGGGAGACGACTTGGCTGCTCCTGATACCCTCTTGCTCTGTGAGACAGCAGGCTGCTGTGGCTCTGAGTCTCCAAGGCAAGGAAGTGAAACTCGGTCGCTTACTCCTCCCACCACCACCACCCTGGCCTGGAGGCACTGGCTGGAGCGTGCTGTCAGTCAGGAAGTATGAACTTAGGTAGTTACCTCTGAGGACACCCACCCTACATCACGCAACAGGCGGTTGCCATCAAAGAAAATCTGACCACCCCACCTGGGACTGGGCAACAGTGCAAACCTTGCTTCTCCATAATGCTAGCAGCCTCTGGTTTGTAGGGGAGGATGTGTGCACTCTTTCACCCCACCTTCGTTCTGTCTTACACACCAACACAGGGAACACTGAGGAAGCTTCTACATCAGGAACACCCTTAGCGTGTGTGTGTGGGGAGAAACAGAATCAGATCACAAGTTTGACCCCTGAAGTTTGGTATTTTAGCACTTTCGCAATATTTCTGTTTAGTTACCCAGACCTTCTAATATATCCTTGATGCTCCGAAGAGGGATGATTCAGAGACAATTATTTTTTCCTCCATGGAAGAAGGATTAGGAGAGAAGAAGGCAGGAAAAAGTTACAAGGGGCCATTCTGGTACCCATCTAATGGGGCATATTGGAACTCCTGGAGTCTTTTTTTTTTTTTTTTTTTTTTTTTTTTGAGATGGAGTCTCGCTCTGTCACCCAGTCTGAAGGGCAATGGCTAAATATGGGGTCACTGCAACCTCTGCTTCCCAGGTTCAAGCGATTCTCCTGCCTCAGCCTCCTGAGTAGCTGGGATTACAGGCACCTGCCATTAGTGGTCCTCAATTAGCCCACCCAACTAATGTTTGTATTTTTGTAGAGACGAGGTTTCACCATGTTGGCCAGGCTGGTCTTGAACTCCTGACCTCAGGTGTTCCGCCAACCTTGCCAAAGTGCTGGGATTACAAGCGTGAGCCACTGCGCCCGGCCTGAACTCCTGGAGTCTTTGAGTGCCAATTTCTTCATGAGCCCCCTCACACCTGAATGGCTTTGTGCCCAGATTCATGCGTAGATTCTATCTGCCAGAAATGCTAAAGGGAAATGGCAGTGACTGAATCCTTGAGAAGTGGGACAAAGTGCAGTATCAGATGAGTCAAGAACATATGCTGCTTCCTGCCTTTTCTATGTACCTACAGGTCTGTCTCTCTCTATCCCTTTCTCTCTCTCTCTCTTCCTATCTCGACTCTTTGACTCACTCAGCACTCACCAGGGTGCTCTGTAACTTGTTCTAACAGTGCAGCCCAAGGACCAGCAGCGCAGCGGAGCTGTTCCTAAAGGACTAGAGGCTGCTGGCATCCTGCGTGGTTCCATCCTTCACGTTCCTCCTTATTACCACTGTTCACCCAGGATCGGTGAGACCCTGGGTGACACTGGTTGCCAGTGAGAAATTCCTGAGTGTCAAGAGGCAGCCTGCAGGAGACTTACTTCCGATAAGACATGTGTAAGCACTTGAAATTCTTTTGGCTACAGTTCGTTCACAGAGGAGGACAGGGCCCACTTGAACAGAGAGGCCAGGGCAGGGAGGTATTCAACATGCACACTGCAGCGACAGGGAACAGCCTGGGCCCTAGAGTTCCTGTTCCTTTCCTAGAGCCCTAGAGCCCTTTATTTGGTGTTTTAGTATCTATTTAATTCTCATTTCAGCAAATTCTGGTTATTCTTTTTCTTAACTTATTTGGAAGCGCAATTAGCAAAATTTTCTAAGATGGTCCCGCTTTTTTGTCTCAATCTTCCTGCCTTTGTCCCTTTGTCATGTTGCTGTCCTGTCTATTGCCCTCTCCTTTGATGTCACTGTTCCATTTTGTCACTTACTCCATTTCTCCCGGTATCCCTTCCTTCCCTACCACCTGCCCACCCACTAACCACACATAGTTTTGCAGTGGTAGCAGCTGCAGGAGGCTTACTAGATAGTTTTGACAAAATCTTGGGTATTCATACAAATATTTGGTAACATATGTTTTACATTAGATTGTTCAGATGATAGAATTCTTAAATCTTTGGTTATTTATTTTTTTAGAGATGCCGAGGCTGGTCTTGAACTCCTGAGTTCAAGCAATGCTTCCATCTAGGCCTCTCAGAATGCTGAGATTACAGGTGTGAGCCACTGCAGCCAGTCTCTAATGTTTTATTAACTTTTGCTTCCAAGCAAGTACAAGGCATGTTTTTAAAAAATCACATAATTTAGTTATTATGTCAACAAACTCTTTTCAATGGTGCTGGTTCACAGCACTGAATTTTTTCCACACGCAGGTTAGAGGTTTTCTCTCAGTGGTCATTGTAAGCAGAGTTCTGCTGGATGCCTTAGACCCTCAGTCACGTGTGTTGTGTCTAAATCCCAACTTCAGACAGAGTCTTGAAAATCCAATGCAAAACAAGGAGTGAGTTTAACCTGGCAAGGGGTCAGGGTTGCGGGGGAGGTTTTGGAAATATGTCCCCAACTCCACATTGTAGTCTCAGCTCCAGCATTCTATGGGGCTACTAGATCTGGCTCTTCTTGCCCAACGCAAATGCTTCTAATGACCAGCCCTTGCTCCGGGGCTCCCCACGGGTCTGAAAGGGCTTTCTCGGAACTCGGAAGAACGTTCTTTCTACCCAGTTCCTCCCTTCTTTTTCTCCCTTCACAGATATCAGCTTATCTTGCATTGAATCATGGCCTAAATTTCCCGTCCATCTGGAACCTCAGAATGTAACCCTAGAATGTAACCGTAGAAAGAACATTGTTCTAAGTTCTAAGAAAGTCTCAGTCAGACCCATGGGGAGCCCCAGAGCAAGGACTGGTCATTAGAAGCATTTGTATTGGGCAAGAAGAGCTGGATCTAGTAGCCCCTAAGACCACTTCTGAGAAGGTATTTGGCCATATTATCTCCTTTCTTTTTTCCCAAAGTGAATGAGACTTAAGATCAACTTAATTTTAGTCTTGTGAAGGATACATTTGCTTTTGTCCACACTCTTCGTCTGCCTAGAATGCTTTCCTCTGTTCTGTCCTGCCAACTCCTTTGCGTTTTCTTGTGTTATCTCTTCTCGAGAGGTGTTTTCTGAGTACCCCATCTGTATACTGGGTACCCCCTCTGTATACTGGATCAGGTGACCTTCCGTGTTGCTAAGCACCTGCACTACCTTAATGTACTTCATGTCTCGATTATGACATTTTTCCACTGTATTGAGACTATTTTATTTTGTTTTATTATGTATCCTTCAAGACAAAACTCTCCTCTAATTGGACTGAGAGAGCACTTAGGGCAGAGTTTACGTCTTGTTCATCTTTATATCCCTTTCACTCAGCACGGAACACAGGATGGACCAGCAGCTCAATGATCCTGTTGACTCAATGATAGAGGCTCTGAAGCTTTTGACTGAAAGCCTAAAACTGGGGCCGGGGGGAGGGGAAGTGGCAGTGTAGGTTTTTTGGCAAGTAGATGCCAATAAGGAATTAAAAGTGCAGGGGATTTATGGGATGGATGTGCCTATGATGGACAGAGGCCAGAAGGAGAGGAGCAGACAGGGTCTCAGACCACAATGTGGAGTTACGTGTTAGTGTCCCAGCCCTGTCTCAGCAGAGGACCACACACTGGAGGGCTAAAAACGGCAGAGATGTATTGCCTCCCAGTTCTGACGTCAGAAGATCTCAACTAACATGCTGCTAGGATGGGCTTCTTTGGAGGCTCTGAGGGAGAATCTGTTCCAGGCCCCTCTCCCAGCTTCTGGTGGTCGCCAGCAATCCTTGGCATTCCTTAGCTGGTAGACACAACACTTCAGCCTCTGCCTCCATCTTCATACCACCTTCTTTTCTCGGCATCTGCACCTGGACTTCTTGTAAGGACATCAGTCATTGGATTTAGGACCAGCCCTAATCCATAATGAACTCATCTTAATTAATTCCATCTACAAAGACTCTATTTCCAAATACGGTTACATTCTGAGGTTCCAGGTGGACAGGAATTTTAGAAGGGCCATGATTCAATCCAGGCTAAGCTGACATCTGTGAAGGGAGAAAAAGAAGGGAGGAATTGGGTAGAAAGAACGTTGTTCCAAGTTCTAAGAAAGTCTCAGTCACACCCATGGGGAGCCCCGGAGCAAGCACTGGTTATTAGAAGCATTTGCATTGGGCAAGAAGAGCCAGATCTAGTAGCCCCAACATGGCCGTGAGCAGCCAGGGAGAGCCTTGGCATGAGTGTCGGCAGCAGAACTAGAAGGCACCATCTTCAGGCACACCGAAGACATCTGCCAGAAAAAAAAAAAAAAAAAAAACAGCAGAAATCTTCCCAACCACACTTAAGACATCTGCCAGAAACAAACCAAGCGGAAATCTTCCCAACCTTCCTCTTTTCTTCTTTATTTCTCTTCTCTATGGTTTTCCCACCTTTCACTTTCAACACTCCATCTCAAACTTCATTCTCACCCTCCTTTCTCTAATGTGAAGTGGTTGTTCTATTTGCCAGTTCAGTCACTTGGTTTAATTCCTTGAGATCACTTAAATTGTGAGAAGGTTCTACAGAAGTAGTGCTGTCGTGTGGTTCATCAGACGCATTTCAGGAAAGATGAGGAACAAAGGGTCCCCTGAGATAGAGGGAAATCCTTGTCCTGCACCCACGTGTCCTAGGGATCTCCGTGTAGAAAAAGTTCCATTCTCCCAGGGTTTCCTGTCCCCTATCTACTGTATGTCTGAAGTAGTGCACAAGAGCCACAGAAATGGATCAAGCTTACAGCTTCTGTGGACTGTATCTCAGTTTCTACCAATATTCCAGCTACTCTTTCATTTAAATAGTGATACGACTGTCATTACGGTAAAATGAATAGACGTTTAATGTTCTCCTCACTCTCTTCCATCAGACCTCCCCTCCTCCTTCCCCTCCCTGAGCTTGGCTCACTGTGGGCTCAGGCTTTACCATTGATTTTCACTCTTCCTGCGTCTCTCTTCCTCCAGATCTCACTGTGGCGCTCTCACTTCTGTTGGGGATTTTGTTCTAAGGTCACCTTCTCAGAAAGAGCTTCCTTATCCACCATATCTAAAATGCCTCA